TATTCCATTTCATTTTTACTTCTAACTTACAGATACATAGAACACTGAACAAAGCAACATAAAATGACACATCTTCTCAGAGTCAGTGCATTAATTCAGTCTTATTTCACATGGCATTAGTCCACACTGCTTTCTTCTGCTTCTGGAACCACATCCTCAGACTCATCTTTGGGTTGGTCAGGCGCATCCACAGGCATCGCAGCTGACTCCTCCATGGGTTCGTCTGTCTTCTCTGAAATGGAGTTGGACTGTGAAGTCTCCTCAGACACCTCCATCTGCTGAAGGTTAAAGTCATTAGTCAGCCAGTGCGGTTCACTCTTGTACTGGTCTGCATGGGTGCCATGAATAATGGTGATGATAATGTTTTACCTGCGATGCAGCTTCAGACGTGACCTCCAGAGCAGCATGGTCCGTCTCTCTCTGCTCCATGGGCTCTTCTTCTTCTTCTTCCCTCCTGGCTAGGATCTGTTGTCGTTGTTGTTGTTGAGGTGGTGGTTCAGTAAACACTATGGGAGTCGGGGCTGGAGGTTCTGCTTGTGATACTGGTGCAGGCATTGATATATGCTTTGGTACTGGCACCTTAATGAACATAAGTGGGCAAGACAGCATTTTATTGGTGGATTATCCAAAGTCATGAACATCCAACTCATTTCTGTAATGTTCATTGTATTTTGTAGAGATCAAGCGACATATAATAACCAGTTGATGTGGTTGATAACTCTGATCATTAAAATTTAATTAGAATGTCATAACTCCAGTGTAAATGTAAGACTTCTCAATAGTGACATGTGTCAGACTTCTCCAGTCATTTAGTCTGCCTAAACAGTCCCTACACAATCGACTGCAAGCTTGCATTTACTTTTGAGTTCAATGTCCACATCTCCAAATGCAAATCAACAGCCCATGAGTAGAATCATAAACCAAACCTACATTTGGTCTCCTTTTGATAATCTGTTACACTTGGATATACATCACAAAAGAGAAGAAAAGATCTGTCGCTACTTCAGTTTCATCGCAACATACCTCTCGCTCTTCTATTATTTCTGGATGCTGAAGTTCAGCTTGTGGTTCTGGTTCTGGCTTCCTGCTGTTGGCCTCCAGAACGGCCATTATAGATGCTGGA